AAAACAAAAACCTGCAGGCAGGCAGCGCCTTGCGCTGGTGGAAAAGAAAACGGTGGAAAACCAGGCAGGCAGGCAAAACCAGAAGAATTCATAGCAACTCAAATTCCTTGTAGCCCGATTGTTCGACAGAAGGCCGAGAGTTTGGTTTTGATCCGGCAACTTCTAGTTATGATCCTATTACACATGAATGACTTTATCATTAACAGATGTGATGCCGTTAATTATAAACAATTTAATACTTATTAGAAATAAGTATTGACACAACATAAAATAAACCATAATACATTAAAACCCTCACTTAAACGCCAAGTGACTCAAGTGAGTTATTTAATTATATTTGTACCATAATACTTATTTTATAATTATTAAATTTGTTTATAATATTAGCGAACGTATTTAAAACTCTACGGTTTTGTCCTTGCGATGAAAGTCAGTTAACGGTTTTGCCCAAATGATGTTGGTCATATCTAGGTTTGCCCGGTCAAAAGCCGAAATATGACATTTTGCCCAAGGATTGTGGGCAATTTGCGTTTTGCCCGGGCATTTCTGAGGTTTGCCCGATTTTGGCTTTTGCCCGTAACATACACATTGCGAAGTGTACAATGTTGCTGTACAAAGTAACTAGATTGTACAAGTTGCGTTATACAATTCGCGATGTGTACAATAATCACTGTACAAATTCCGAAGTGTACAATTGTTGTACAAATCACAAAATTTAAAAACATATTCTAAAAATTACAGTATAATAACTGTTATGTTTTAAATCTATTTTTTTAATATTACATATTATTACTTATTAGTATACTATATACAAATAGATATACCAGGTCTTTACATATTAATATTCTACAATCATTGAAAAAATCACAAAAATAAGTAATAATATGTAATATTTATTAAGAAAATACTTTTAAAACATAACAGTTATTATACTGTAATTTTTAAAATATATTTTTAAATTTTGTGATTTGTACAACAATTGTATACTTCGCAATGTGTATAAAAATCACTGTACAAATTGCGAAATATACAATTCCGGACTTTGTATGTAACATATACAATATTTAAAAAAAAAATCAAAAAATTAATTTAAATGTAACGCAGATGACAATTGATAATTTAAAAAAATAATAAGTTGAAAATGTTGAATAGAACGGAAGTTATTACAACTGTCAGTTCACCATAAAACACTTAACTATATCAAGGCAATTATTTTTTTTATAGACGTTTTAAAATTCCAATTTAGAGAAATTCACTTTTTTAAACAATAAGTAACGATATAATAATTAATTTTTTATAGTGTAAAAAAAATCGCGGGTTCCTAAACTTATATATGTTTTTTGCAGTGTGAAGAACTAAAATAATCGATTCTTAAAGATAAATAAAAAAATAAAAAAACGAATAAACATTAATTATTATCTATTATAATGAATTAAATAACTTACCATTTATTTCTTTTAAATCATGTTCTCAAGATGATAGCCATCTCTACTCGAGTTTACTTCGTATATTTTCCACTATACGATGTGTCACTACTCAATACTCACTTCCAAAGGTGGTACATTTTCAAGTGGACGAATTGTTTTTTTTCGTACAGGTTTCTTTCAGAAACACATTTTTTCGAAGTTAGTAATCGATATTTTAAGTTTTAACAGCCTTAGCAGATGATACCGAATCTTAGCGTTTAAGATTATAGTGAAGACAAAATGAACGCAGTGCGACTACGTATAGGTAGGTGGTAATTGTCATTATTTTTGTAAAACAATTTTATCGGACGAGCAAGTTGTTCACCACTCCACTGGTCCACTGTTCCATGAATACTAAATAGTGAATACTGAATGGCATGCGTTATTTAAGAATTAATAATATGTTTTGACGATAATTCTTATCTTGATTATTACTGGGAAAATCTATTTTTAAAATCGGTCGTTCGAGTATTCCACCCCGAGTTATTATGAATTTTACTGAAAACAATAACATTTTTTAACTATTTTAAAATAGATTTTAAAAAAATAAAAAAATTTAATATATGGTAAAAATATACATTATTATAATAATTTTATACTCTTATTAGAATCGGTGAAACTCGCTGTAAGTGAATACCCTAGGTCAGAAACAGGACTACTTGAGAAAAACCGCAGAAGGTCATTTGGAACAAAGCATAATTATAAATACCATGATTGGGCAATACAAGACAAGTTCATAATTATTATTACATTTGTTAGACACATTTATGTTTTAAGCAAAAACATCTTATTTAAAGTCATTAGGGCTCGATTTTTTACGTTATTTATTTATTTTTTCTACATTTTCTAATATATAAATTCTGTTTCTATAGTGAATAAAACATCTATCCCTATTAGCTAATATAATCTTATTGCATATTTGAGTAAAATTTTATACAAGTTCTACATTTTATTGATAGTTATACAACTTGCAATACCTAATTCTTGACCGTTTATTTCTCCTAATAAACGAAGAAATTACCATGTTAATTTAATATTTTTATAGTATGTGTACATTTTATATATATTGTATATTATCCAAGTAGGAGTAATGCAGAACCAATATTCAACCGGTTCACGATTTAAACCAGGAAATAAAAATGTATGTAAATAAATATAGTAAATTTGTGTACCCCCCCCCCAACAAAAAAAAAAATTTTATCCTAAATACGCCATTGACTATGAATATTGCATAACAAATCAATAATTGTCAATCAATATACATTTGAACAACATTTGTATAGAACTGACAAAACTAAAATTAAAATGTTTCAAATATATTATTTATTAGAATTTTTATAACTGGCTACAAAATTAGTAAAACTTACCAAAAAATTGTGCAATATTCTCAATTAGACGCCAATTAGATACTTATTTAATTCACATGCGTAATACCAATTTGGATGATACCTACTTAGGTTTGATTAAATAATTAACTAAAATACATCATAAAAAGCATATAACAATAACTACCTATCATTGATGGTCATAATTTTGATTTACATAACAATATTATATAACAGAGTAAAAATTGTTTCAATTTGTTGGCGTATGGCGTGTTTAGTGTTTATGAAAGTAATGAAATCATTCAATTTTCAAACACAGAAAAGACGATTTGAATTATACTAAATTTTAAACGAGTCATGACGAGTAAAGAGTAAATTACTAATATGAGTTTTATACTATTTTGTGTTTAAAAGTTTGAGAATAACAACATTATTCGACATATTGATACAGACTATAGATACTAAAAATGTATCTATTCTTTATAGAAAGTACTTTAATATTTAAATATTGTCACATATATATTGTAACAATTAAACTATGATATCAAAAACTTGTAAATGATCAAACTTTGATTAAAATTAGTGATATCATGGATGCCAAAGTCCACGAAAGCTCATATAGTCTATATTCGTGTTGTAAGTATTAGCAGGTACAAAACTATAAAGATATTATTACCTCGGGTCGAACAATAACAATTTATTATTTTACTACTGGTCTTTACAAACATGAAACAATAATTGTGTTTTAAATTTTAATCAATGCCTTGCAGCCGTAGGTAATAACCTGTAAGACGAACACCTGAAAACCTTACACCATCCAACTTTGAGCAGCTATAATTCGTTAACGGTTAGATGAAAACTAGTAATTATAACGTTAAAATTCATAAAAAAATAGCCCTATTATTATATGACATTTAAAATGTAGATTGCCATTTTTAAATCAAAAGTTGATAGTGGTTTCACTATTAAATACTAACGTGAAAAAAATAAAATTTTTATATAATTCTAGAAAAACATAAAACTAAACATTTTGAAAAAAAAAAATTAAAAAAAGTCGACACATTTTGAAATGAGTGTTCAATGATAAAAGAATTACCCTATATGTGATCAAGAAATCTGAATTTTTTTTCTTCGGCTAATATTAATATAATTTGATTTACATGCAACTTACAAACATTTTTTAATGAAATTGAGTGCTTGAGCATTATAAAGTTGAAAACTATATGAGTATTATAATTTTAATTTACAACAAAATCTGTGAATTTTTCATTATATTATGCCCAGAATAATACCTGCTAAACTACTGTACATGAATGATTAGATTAATTATAGTATAAACCAATAAACTTACTTATATAATACATTATTATACCAACATTGTTTTAAAAATTACTTTTTCTTTTGTTTATAGATATATTGTACAGTGTACATCTATATACCATGATTTTTTAGAAAATAATTACATTAAAATACAATATTAAGTAAAAATAAAATTTGCAAATGAACACTTTAAGGTAATACCGATATTGAGATATGCATTATTAATTATTACAATACAATTATTAAATAGCTAAATTTCTTTCGATATAACGAATGTCTCTAACAAGTTTGCTGAACTGCGAAGGATCTAACGAACAGATATGATCCGACCCCTTCATATTTCTATCCAATGTGATATGTCTTTCAATAATCTGAAACATCATTAATAAAATTACAACAATCAATTAATATTTAATAATTTTGTTAAAATTGATTCGCAATTTGTAATTATTAATAAGGACATCAAAGAAACCTCACTAAACGCCTAAATGTAGTAAGTACGTGCTACTTGACAGAAAAAATGATAATAATCTAGCAAATAAATGTATTTCAACTAGTCTATAACGGACACTTTCTATACAAGTACTATAAAAATGAACAGTATAATAATACTCTTCAGTGTCAGTGGCATGATAAATGATAACGAACAACATTAATAATAAAATTCAAGTATAAATTAAAAATTAAAATTATACAATTTAAAATAAATGTACATTGGACAATGTACATATTTTATTATTCATAATTCATATATAGTATTGTATACGACCAATGAACCACAATCATGCACTACAGTATAACTGTATAACTTATTGTTACGATTTTAAGTCTTTGTTCTAGGTTAAGTTAACTTATTTTCCCGGAAAAGTTTTATTTGAAAAGGGTTTTTATACGTTCATGAATAAATAAATAACCTTCATAATAAGCTGGAAATTACTATAAACACAAGTTGAAAACCAAACGCTCATTTTATTTAATTTTCAGACAAAAAAATAATGTATACCTATAATATATTATGTTGTACGTATGAATTTTTTTATAACTACATGTCTACATATAATATGTATCTATGCAATATATACTAATAATATTTATTATGATATTTTTTGGGCGACTTTCATAATAAATTTCAATCTATTTTCATTTCATATTTTATAATCACTAAATAGATCCTCGTCACCTGTCTATGATCCAATGTATGTCCGTTATACATCACAGAACAGTATAGATAATGTAATAATGGTTATGGTTTCACTGTATGTCTACATAATATATAATACATAATACTACGATAATTCTCTCATTATATCCTTACTTTGGCGCCGAGTGCTACTGATGCAGTGGTTAAAGAAGAGCCAACTTCGTGGCCAGAGTAACCAATAATCGTATTTGGAAAAGACTTGCGAAGCGTCTTGATCATGTTCAGATTGGCTTCGTCCGGTGGTGTCGGATACGCAGATACACAGTGTAATAGTGCGAAATAATTATGGTATCGACTAACTGTCTCATAAGTAATTCGTATATCAGCCAGTGTCTGCATGCCGGTGGATATAACCAGTGGAACATAAGCCTTGGCCGCTTTTTCCAATAACATCACGTTCCCAGATTCGCCTGAACCGATTTTCACGAACGGCACTTTGAGGCTAACAATGAAATCAAATGAAACCTGTAAAAAAATGGATGAAACCTAAGTGAAATGTACAATGCTGACGAATGAAGTATCACTTTTGCCCACCCTAAAATGTTTTTTTACAATACATTTGAAATAAAATAAATATGAGAATAAACAATAGTTAACTCTTTTGAAAACAATCATACGTGTTCCACGTATTCTATCATATGTATGTTGTAGGCATATAGTCAAAGAATTTAATTTTTATACAATTTTACTATCTGCCTAGACATTTAGTTAAATGCACCTATTTCAAATTAGGCAAAATTAAAAATTAAACATTTTATATGATTTTAAAAATTTAACTATAGCCTATAGGTATTATTTTATTAATTATTTATTGCTACTCTATAAAAAAAAACCTATGTATTATTTAAAAATATTTTAAATACGTAGATACCCATATGAAATACTTTTAATTTCGTGTCCTTCGGCATTATTGTAATGTATACTTAAATATACAAATAATTAATAAATATAGGTAATAATTATTAGGTTTAATAGTACAAGTATGTTATATACTACAGTACAATTACTTCATATTTTTATTAAATAAAATAAAAGTTCCGTTAGTTTTTACTTGAGAAAATTAACGTAGGTACTGTTTTTGTACAATAATCTTATCAGCTATATTGAATACTACGGGACAAATTATAATCTTATTGATTATAACAACAAAAATATAACGTTACAGAAAAAGGTACAGAACATGCAATTAAATTGTAACAACTAAAAATTAATAAAAAATTGTAATTATAATATAACCTTTTTATTTATTTTTTTGCTGGTACCATTGCACATAATTATTAATTACCTATATTTATTTATATATTTAAGTACAGTTCAGTATAGCGATAAATAATTAATTTAAAAAAATAGTTAAATTTTTAAAATAATGCAAAATGTATTATTTTTATGATTTGTCTTCCTTTAAAATTGAAAATAAGTTAATATATTAGTTAAATATCTTTGACATATACAAATAATAGTTATTATATTAAGTATTTATTTGTATTTATTCTGTAATTATATAATTAAGGTATTCAATATATTATAGCTGTAATAAAAGTAAGATTACCCGTAAAAAAATTAAAAATTGTGATATAAATTTATGTTATAAATTGTTGCAGTTGATTTACCGGGTCCATTGCTGAAGCAGTAAAATGAATTCCGATTTTTTTTACAGCATATCTCCTTAATTCCTTGTATTGATCTTCGGTGAATTCTAAAAAATGTTTATGTTCACCGTAAGTTGTACCGAAAGAATTTTTACTATCGTACAGTCTATTTCTGGCCAACAATGTAAATTTTTCATTTATGCAACTTTTTTGAAATTTTACACAATCTGCACCACATTTCTTAAACAATTCAAATTATAAAATTCATACATAATAAAACATATCATACTATAGTAAAATATACTTATTATAATATTTTATAAATTAAATAGGTACAGTAGAAAATTGTTTAACCACCACTCGATTTACCATCACTCTCTGTTATCCTCATTGGTCACCGTCAAAAAAATGAAATAATAATTTTTATGATGTGATCGCGATTTGAAGTGCAAGAGGAGGCGAAATGCAACACAGGTCTTACTTCTTCGAAAAATACGAAACATATCTGCTCAAAAAGCTAGTGCCTCAAAAAAAAAAGAAAAAAAGAAGAATTCTTAAGATGACAAATTATTTTGTTTAGTATTTTTGAGTATGATATTATTTTTGTTATTACATATTATATTATATTATTTATTATTTATTAGTTATTACATATTATTTTTTTCAACAAATCACGATATAAAATATATACGTTTATTGAAAAATTTCTGTTAACTGTCTATTTAATTAACCGTCATTGTCCCGGTACCGAACACACTGACGGTTAAACGAGTTTCTATTGCTGTACTATATTATTACAGTATACATAAATTAAATAATTACTTTGGCCAATTTGATCAATTTTTTAGCCATCATTATATCACCTTGATGATTTTGTCCTATTTCAGCAATAATATAACACGGGCTTTTAAAATGTATAGATCGTCCCAGATCGATTTCAGGTAAATATCCGCTATAATCTGGTACTGGTTCATCAAATGGCATATAATACGTATAATGTTGCAGTCTAAAATTATCACAATATAAATTACAATAAGTACAATTAAAATACAGTCATACAAAGTATAATATAATTTTTAAGGTACTTATTCGTATTAATAATTTTTTTACTGATTTTTCTGTCAAAACCTTAAACAAAATTTATTTTATTTTGTATTTTCTAGAAGGAATTTAAAAAAATTATTAAGTTATAATAAAACAGTAGTAATTCCGGTATAGTTTTCGATAATTCGGACAATACGCAAGTACACTAATATAATATGTTCATTTTTAAAAATATCATACCCATCGAAATCAGAAACAAAAATTGGATCATCTTCATCAACTTCAGATAATAACTGTCGACCGATTACTACTGGAAAGTAAAATCCACACATGCTCTGTGTGTCACTGACTTTAATTTTCATATCCTCTGCTTTTAATATGGATCCACGCTCTAAATTTTTGGCAGCTACAATACTTTTGAATAACTTTTTGAAACACGGCAGTTCAGATGGGGAGAGTTTATCCTTTTTCCCTGTTCCTAGTGCAACTTCAACTGTCCTAATATTGGTCACCATAGTACGAAAGTCACGAGCGGAGATAGACATCGCGTGATCGTATCCAATGGATTTATCGTCTAACGTAAACTTGCAAGATATCGCCTTAAACAATACCAATTATTTAAAAAATAACAAGCAATAAAAAAACTAATTTCATAAAATCTATTTAACTATTATTATATATTTTTACCTATATGTATATATATAGTTATTTATATTTTATAAAGTCATTGTTTTAAATATATATTCATAAATTGTTTTTTTTTAGTTTCATTACAAAAGCAATAATTATAAGTAATTCATAAAATATCAATATTTTTAAATAAATAACACTCATAAGATTTATATGATTTTATTCAATTGTTTCACTCTAAAGTTGTTTGTCGGCCATCGGCTAGTTTTTAGTGATTTTTATGTTTTATTATAAAACAATTCACAAGTTGGAGTTTAATTGATTTAAAACAATAAAAATATTACATAGTACGAATGTAAAAGAATCCATAAGTTATGTTTTCAATATTCAATGCGATATTTAATCAAATTATTAGAACAGTTAAAATAATGAAACGGTACCTAATATAATTAATAATATAATACTTTAATGTCATAAAAAATTACAAATAACTGAAATATAGAAAATAAATAGATAATTTTTTTTTGTACCTCATTCATTCTTGGGCAGAAAACTCATTTTAATCTCAATAATTAAGTTAGTTTCTGCTAACAAATTTAATTGATATAATTGATAAACAACAGTGTGATAAGGGAAAAAGGGAAATTCACATATTAGCGGCTTTATAATGGCCAAAATATTTTTTTAATTTTTTTTATAAATTAAATAACAAAAACGACTTATTCTCTTTTTATGATTTGTTTTTTTCTACCCCTAAAGAGAACGCTACACCCGCATGCGGTGTCTCCTTCTTACAAACGCATAACATGGCAAATTTTATTGTTCGATCTGAATAATCCATTTAATTCTATCATGTTAATTATTACAGTAAATTTACCTATTATAAAATTTAAAAGTAAGAATATAAACTAATGAACTTCGTTAGCTTTTTATTTTAAAGTGAATTATAAAATGTACAAGTAATTTAAATTTTTAAAATTCGCATAACTCACTTCAAGATAAATATATATAAAAAAGCCTACAAGGTTTATTTGTTTGTATTTTTACTTTTTAATTTGATTACAGGTAAATTCACTATAAACATGACAAAGTTAAAATAATTATTCATATTAAACTATTTGCTATACTATGCGTTAGTAAAACGGAGACATCGCATGAGAGTGTAGCGTACTCTTAAATTACTTAAATACAGCATTACTAATAAGTAATAAGTAATAACCTATTAAAATAAAAATAAATTTAAAGTAATAGTAATATTAAGAGCATACTATATGTTTATATCATATTATTATGTTTTTAAAACATTTAACTTCTTAATTTTAAGCTTGACTATTTAATATCAATAAAAAATGATTACTTTTATTCCAATAGCAACAACCACTTCAGGAAGACATGTGCTCATTTCTTGATATTCCCAAAATTGAAGTTCATGTTTGGGAAATTTTTGTTGTATTTTTTCGACGAGATCGACGGTTTCGTACGATTTACGGTCTTCGGAAATATCCTTTTCTGGAATCGAAGGAAACGGTAATTGCAAATCACTACTAATTTCGTCCTCGTCATTATTTGTATTCTTAAATTCTTGTATAGGAGAAATTTGACGTATTGAATTCTAAAAAAATGAATAATACATTATTCATAAATTAAATAAATAATGAGTTTTCCAATTCAACTAACCATTAACGATTTAGTGGTGAAAACGGCTCCATTATCTTGCGCTAACTTATGAAAATTTTTAATATCTTCGCATGTAAATAATGGATTAGTATTTTCATCAAGTTCCATTAACACATAATCCGCGCCACATTTCTAAAAAGTTATTCTATTATTAAAGACAATCAATTCATAATTTATATTCTTATGTATAGAAAAAAAATATTAGAATTAAAATTTATTTATAAAATAAAGAATTTTAAAAATGGACAATCTATTTCCAAGGAAAAGTAAATAATTCAATTTTCATGATTAGAAAAATAAATTTTAACATTTAATATTTTTTGAATAAAAATTTACAATAATATACAAGATAGTAGATTAATATCCTTACACTGAATATACTACATGAATAAACTTGAATCTCAATTCGGAAACTCAGCTAGTTTAATTTATTTTTTTTCAGATTTGTTGTAATTTTAAATTTAATATAATTTTCTTTTTATATTTTAAAATAGTTGGAATTATTGAGCTCGATATATGCCAAATGCATTTGCTACTTCATAATTTTTTCCCCACACTGTTCAGCTTTATTTATAACATTGATTTTTTTCAGCGATCGTTAAAATTTTTAATTTGCGTTTCGATAGATTTAAATATGAAAATTTTTTTTTTTTAAATAACTGAAAAACAAATCCGCGCTTCCGGAACAGCGTTTCAAAAATCCTGCATATAAGCACTTATAAACTAATAAATGTATTTATGTATAGTACCTACCTATTATTTATTATTAACTATCGGATCTGAATATACTACGCTACTGCACACGTATTCAATATAAATATAAATAAATTTGCAACCGCATAGATAAATCGAAAATTTTCATAATTTATTGAAGTTGTATAAATTCAATTTTCTTGAAGTAGAACGTAGTGTAATTATTATTTTGTATTTTATTGCAGCAGCATCATTATACATACGAGAAGATGCGTTTACTTGAATTATTTTTTTAAGTCGGAACGATGTAGACACTCTGTGGGTAAGAGCGGAGATGAAACTTTTTTGTACAGCTGACAGAGTTTGATACGAGCGAGATCGTGAATCTATAGATGATCCTCCACTGCGTAGTATATTATAATTGTATATACTATATCTAGGTAGTCTACAACATATATTAATAATAAATCTACGGCATAAATAGGTAGGTACGTACGATATTTCTAAAACGATTATATTAATATAGATATAGACGAAAACGACTATTATATTATATACGAACAGGGCGCTCTTGCGATTGAAACATTTTCATCTCTCGCAGCGAATGCGGTACCTATTATGCGGATATTATAATAGGTACATAGATATGAATTTTATCGTCATCACAGATATATATTGCATTAAATCATTCGATATTTATTAAGTATTTATTATACGCTACAGATCTAATACCACTATATTAATATTATAGAGACGACAAAGCAAATATCTTTAAGTTTAGTATAAAATTTATATCATGATGTAGAGGTATTGTTTGGGGCGTAACGGTGCTCGTTCTATGTGTAATAATAACATGTATGAATATACTATATAAAGGAGAACGTATAGTGATCAATTTTATTCTTATATTTTTTCAATCATTAACTATTATATATTATGGCTCACGCATGCTGTTTCGATCAGTTCGCAGGCCAGAGTCGCGTTTCCCTCGTGATTCGTTGACAGATTCGCAATAACGTACACCCGATTATTTTTGGCAATGTTCTTCATCGTGATATCTTTATAATGAAGTACAAATGTACGATTTGTTAACGCGCGTCCAAGTTCTAGACGAAAACAACGTACAAACGCGGACTACGGTCGTCGGCGTTTTGCGAGTATTGATCTTTTGCCCGCCACAAGTGGCGAGTGACGGTCGGTCAGAGAATTAACTACAGAACCGCGGTCGATATACACCGGGAGATATTAAACATATTATTATTACGCACGACCAAAGACGACAGACGGACGGACAAATGATACTGGGTAGCTGATAACGAATGAAAATAATAATATTATTGTTTACTAATCACTATTCACTAGTTATTGTAATTTAGTTGGTCTATTTAGTGATGATTGACATTTGCTAGTTTACTACAAAATAACTTTTTACTCTATCTCAATATACTGTATTTTAATGTAATATTATTATTGTTAATGTTGACTCATCTAGAGTGACAGTTGTGACTTACGAATCACAAATTGCGATGCCAACGTGTATAACGACGTAGTATTTCAGAGATAATTTTTTGGTATACACGTTTTCGATCCCACATAAATCATGTCGTTTCTGGATCCAACATTCGTCGGTGACACTCCAGAGTTCCAGAACAAACGTACAAATCTGTTTGCCGTGCTCGATCAAGCAGAAAAAGATTTGGAATCAAAAATTAAAAAAGTTACTACGGCTGACGCACATGAAATACTCAATGGTCGTGTGGAACGTAGAACTGGTCGTTCTCTGACTAAACAGTTCCGAGGCAAAGACAGTCTATTTGTCAAGCCAGAAATACCGCCATGGCGTATAATTGAAAAGCATAGACCGCCAGATTTCAAATTGCATCCACATAAATGGACTAAGTATTCGTTGGCTGATGTGAATGAGATGAATGACAAGAGCAATGCAGCTGCTGCGTTTGCGTTTCTTAAAGAAATGCAAACCAGAAAATGTAAAGACGATGAAAACGATAATGAAGAAGGAAAGAAAATTGTGTTCAAGAGAACGTTGAAGTCCAACGAACCAGAAATGAAACCAAGTTTTAAAAGTACCAAACTGGTCATGCCAGAATATGAATTTGGGAAAAAGGTTCAGAAGAAAAAAAATAGACCAGAACGTACAACAGATGCAACTACTTCTAATAAAGAAATTAAACTTGGGCATTTAATGGAAGACGAAATTGATGAATAATTCATAATATCTGTATAAAATGTAAATACTAGTTATATAATTAATTTAACATATCTTAATTAAAGAATCCGATTAATATTTACTAATTGTATTTGTTTTTAATTTTATTTCTTTATTAGAAATATAAAAAAACCACTCAAGCATAAGAAATAAGAATTTAAATAATCAATAATAATTAATTCCATAACTATCATTAAGACTACTGAAAAAAAGGTACATAATTGTTTTAAAATAATTTAAACAAACATATTTACTAGACTTTTTCAAATAAACTTAATTTTTTCATAAATGTATTGGACAATTAAAATAATTAGAGCAATACTTATTAATATTAAATCCTACTCTGAACTAGAGATAGGTTATACTATTTCATAATAATTATGATCCATAGTTGCTATAAACTAAATAAAAAATTGAAATTTTTATTTTATTTTAATTAATTATAATTTGTCTTTGGTTTATATGAGTTGTGATAAAATGTTGGTTTTTTCTGAATAATTTTTTATTAAAAATAATAAATAATGATTCATTTAATTAATAATTGTAGGTTTGATATAATATAAATATCTTTATTGAAATTAATATTACACAGAATAATATGAACGTGTATAAAGGAAAATAACAGAACAAAATACGTAATATTGCTGTAAGACTGGATGACTGGTTGGTTTAAACTAGGCAGCCGCCGATATTCCCGCATAATGCAGCATTTGTATTTCGCACGACATCACACTATGAGAACTTTCTTGAATTCGCCTTTCCAAACGAGTATAGAATTTTCATGAGCACCGATATAGTAAACAGTGTCGCCGCTACATAATAAAATGAAAAAATGAATTGTGAATTCAATAAGTTGTTTAAAACTAATAATACTCCCTAAACCTTTTAAATTACTAAAACAATGTATAACACTTTTGTACGATGTAAATTCACTATCATGGAAAGGAAATAATAAAATACAGAATTCCTATTATTTATTTATTATTACTATATTATTATATATAGTATGTGTTATAACTCATAGTAAAACATACATTATTTTAATTATATAAAAGAAAAATATAGTATTGCAATACTTATATTAAAAATTAATGATAAAGGGTTTACCATATAAACATATATATAATGCATCTTAATGCATCTCAGTTTTAAAATATTTTAAAATAGATTAAAAAATAACTTTTAATATTTCTTTGAAATAGATTCAATTTTAATGTATAATTAGTTAAAAATTAAGTTATAATACAGTCAGGCAATCAAATAAATAAAAATTGCTTAAAAGTTTAAAATACTAAAAAAAATACAAATATTTCATTTAAAATAGGTAAATTTAATTACATTGATATTATAAAATAATAATAATTAAAGAAAAATATAAAATTACTAATTACATGACAAACAACAATACATTAAACTGTGAACTGTAAAATATAGATCACAATTCATATAACAATTTAATAGATGAGTTATACTAACATAATTTATTTATGTAGGTAATACATTAAATAGGATAATTGAAACAAAAAATATACTAAATTTCTTTCATTTAATTATACAAAAATAATTTTTGTTATGAGAATTTAGAGATAATTTTTGTATTATTTCTGAATGACATATTGAAAAATTTAATCAAAAATGTAATATTAAATAAAAAATAAAATATATTTATCAATAGAGCTTTTAAACACATACAAGTAAACATATAATAAATATTTAAAAAATATACTATATCTTATAAGTTATTACAAACAACTATTTTTTTTTAAATAACTATATAAATAAATTAATAAAGTAAAAAATTATACAAATTTGAATAATGCTGATATGTTATAAGTTCAACTGCTTAAACTAAATATCATACAAATACAAAAACAAAATAATTAAATAGTTCCCTAAAAGAATTAAAATTAATAATTAATTAAGATAAAATAATGTGATGAAAATTAAAAATATGATTATGAAATAGTATAATTGCACATACAAACAATAATGAAGTATATAATTGAACTAGTTAGAAATCACAGTTTAATAAATTAATATAAGGCACAAAATTCCAATGGCAACATTTGTTAATCATTTATTTAAAATAATAACTAAATTAAATTCACCCTGTTAGTTTATTTTTTAAATAACATAAGAATAAATTCTTTTAAAATAAATTTAAAATTTGTTCAGAGTTTAGATACACTCAATGGTTATTAAAACTAAAATGCCCTTGAGTTTATTTCCAAAAATAAATTATTATTTTCATTTTTAACTTTGTACTTGATTATTTTTTTAAAGCATAAAATAATAAAAAAAAAAAAAAATATGGAATTCATGCTTTAATAAATGGGTGGACAGCAACATTTGGTGGTATGATGTAAACAATACCACCATTATCATCTTTTCTAAAACTTGCAGTTGATGTTTGTGGGTTGACTTCAACTCTAAGCATTCGAGATTTTTTGCCTAACATACAATTAAATTTGTTGGACACATTCACCAGTAACTCAGAATTCCTCAACCTAAAATAATACAATTTTTTAAATTATTTATAATTGTATTGCTATCTCAAAAATAAAGTACAAAAATGTATAACCAGGTATAAAATACATCAAAAATATTAGTTAATAATTTTTATTTTATTTTAATACAAGTTAAGTACTCTGTATTAGACATAAATTTAATTTTTCTTACTGGAAATATCTAGTGCTGATTACTCCTAAAAGTTCACCAATTCTGTCTTCATTAATGTCAGCTGTTGGTTTTAAAGTAACGACAAAATCATTTCCACGATTAGAATGAATTACAACCAGTTGATCTTGTCCCGGACTTACACTCATTCCAGTTACCTAACAATAAGTTTTTTATTATATGTCTACTATGTTTTTATTACAAAATTTTTACTTCTTGTATAGGCATTCCTTTTTTCATTGGTTTGAAATTTTTTAAGTCCAACTTGTAAACTGCCCAATCAGTTATTAATATTGCACGATCTGCGCATTTATTATAACGGTTCATTTTATAAATGAAACTCGAAAACAAAACCTAATTAATATTTTGTTAATAAAATTAATATTATAATGTAAATAAACTGATAATTCTAAATATTATATCAGTACCTGATTAAATCGATCAGAATTCTTAAGGTTATTCAATGCAACCGTATAATTAGCACTTTCTATGTTTTCTGTAGGTGATGAAAGATAATCACCTCTCCACATACGATTTGCACCCCAACTTGGCCGTTTTCCCCATAATAAAGATGCAGCATATATTTTACATCTCAACTGTGGCCATTCACTTCTAGGATAGGGGCTCAAAAGTTTATAAGCCTTCCATCGTTTATATATATATCTTAACGAAGGTTCTAATTGACGCACGGCAAAATTTGTACGTGGCCAAATTATTGATTCTTTATGATGTACATTCATTTCACAAGTTCTATAGAAAACACATTGATTCATTGATTAATTATAACAACAAGATTAATAAAAAATAAACATGTTTAATTAACCTGTGAGCTTCTAAGACAGATTTGAGGTAAGTACGAATTTTATGACGCCGATAAAACTTAATTATAAAATAGGCAGCTTTCATTTTACGAAATTTAGCACGACAAATAGCACCTCGCCACTGTTTTTGCAATAGTACAACAATAGCTGGAATTAATTCTGCTCTCATCTGAAAAAATATCATCAAATAAATAATGTATTTGATTGTTAAGTACTTAGTAATTTTACATACCTTCTCTAAGGCAAATAATGTTTGAGGTGATCTAATAAATAATTTTGATATTCCATACTTAACATCATTTGAAAAATGATTTTCATCTATTAATGCTCTGGTGGCTTCTTTGTCACTACATTTATAATTAGGCCATGTAAAACCACTTATCATTTTATACCTAAAAATACAACATTATAATATATTATTGTTTGCTTTTGATTGGAGGACATAATGTACAAAATCATTTACCTTTTAAGGAATCTACTATAAGGCTGTCTATGAGCAAATCCAGCTCTTCGTACTCTGACATTTTCTAACAGACCCAAATAAGAAACTTGATGAACTACTCTTTTATAATCTATTCCAACAGGAGCTTTGTTTTCATTTGGTTTTATACATCTCACATAATACGGCATTTTACTATTTAATGTCTTAACCAAAGCGATCATTGATGTTTTAAATGCACTTCCAGCAGTTACTGGCCTTTTTGTTGTCTTTGGAAAGCAATGCAATTAAAATTATTAACTACATATAAACAAATTACAAAAACAATTTATGCTTACAGATTTTATATCTAAGGCTCCTTCGGGCCACATATCTCTAATAATTGGGTTCTTTGAAGAGTAAAGCAGTCTTTTAAAATCTTGAAATAATGTATCTTTGTTTTTTTCCAAAAAACCATAAATATTATACACTACATCACCGGCATAATGTCTTTAAATAATTATAATAATAATAATTAAAATATTTTTCTTGTTTGTATTAAAATGATTTATTTCTTACAAAATTTTAAATTGAGTCTTATGTTTCAAATCTTTGTCCAATGTGTTCACCTGCCTGCTAGAATAGTGTTTATGGTTTGACAGTTTTGAGTCCATGGCTTCTAATAACATCTTAATAAAAAAATGCATATTAATTATTAAATTTAATAATATTTATTTTTATTAATCAACATACTTCATCGTTTACTTTGCCTACATTCAGACAAGCTTCATCCATAATTGCAATCATACCTTGATGTGGCTTTTCCACAAGATCACAAATTACTTGGTTATTAAAATATTTAATTTCTAACCAAGCTATGCCTTCTTTTTTGTATTCTTCCTGTTCTTGACGCAAAACCAAATCTATTGATGAAATAATAAATATAAGACATGTTAACACATAAAATTTGCTTATTAATATACATATGTATAATTTTATATAAATTATAATTTATTTTAATTAAATATTAAAAATTAATAATAAATAATTCTTAATCAATAAATACCTATGAACACTTGTTGGAGCTTTTCATTACAGTAATTAAT